GCCAGGTAAGTACCCCTGGCGCTCCTCCCTCTTCCTCCTTCTTCTTCCTCCTTCCTTCTTCTTCTTCCTCCTGTCCTTCTTCTTCCTCCCCCAGCAGCGCTACTCCAACCCAGCGCTGCTCCACCTAGCGCTCCACCAGCGTGTCGCCAAACTTGCACACTGAGAATGAGGCCGGGCTCTTCGCCCGGTCTGAAGATATAGCGGCCTGCTTGCCTCCCTGGGCGGTGACTTCCAGGCCGCTCGGCCTCTCCAGCAACCGGTACCTCCTCGTTTCGGAGGGAAACATCATTGCAGACTCTGATATTGCCCGTACAGGCCCTAGACTCCGACTGGTTAGACTGGTACCTGCCTAGACCTAGCCTACAACTACTGGGCCTCTAAAAAATGCAACTTTTGTCTTTTTCTGCTCGGCCTCCAGTACCCGCACATCTACCCCTTCGTAGTGCGGTACCGGCCTCTCGCTACTTGAGTGTTTTCCTGCTGCAATCCCCCGATGCCAAGGCCACAGGTAAGTATCGGCCCTGAGGGCCCAGCGAACGAACAGGTGCCCTTACGGGCCACATTCAAGCAAACGGCACACAGACAAGCACGGTCACACACACACTCAAGCCAACCAGCACTCAGACAGGCACGGGCACACACACTCACGCCATCCAGCACTCAGACAGACATGCAGTCCARCAAGCACGCATACACAGACTTAGCAGAAAGCGGGAAACTCAGTCAGGCATTCAGTCTATGGGCAAAACTCAGAAATCAGCTGTGTGTTTCAGTCCTTGTTCGGACGGGTCATCACAATATATATATTTATTCATTTATTTATTTATTTATTCATTTATTTATTTAAACATCCTGTGACGTGCTATGGTGCTGGGGTGGTAAGAGCACCTCCAGGATCGAGGAGTTCTTGTGGACGGCTCCGGTCCATTGGTGGGGAGCAGCACCTGCTGGAAACCGGGTGCCCGTCCCTGTTACACCATATTTCGCAAAGGTACCGGGAGCATTACCCACCCTCGCTTTTGTTCCCTCTGCAACTCGGCCTCTCAGCCACTTTAGCTGCCTATACTGCCCTGCAGACCTGCAGACCTCAGCCTTGCTGCAGAGGATGCAATGAGACATCCAGACCAAGACCCTTCCTTCAAGAAACTTACCATTCTGCTTCCTAAACCCTACCCCCTACGCCCTACCCCCTGGCCCACTTAACCTTAAATCCGGGCTGGGTTTAGCTAAGCTTGTCAGTTGTCACCATCGAAAAAGTTAACCGGGCTTCTATTTTATTTTTTAATTCATTTTTATAGACCGGCCGGGCACGTGGTCCTGTGCCACTCTGGTAACATTGCAGAAAACAGTTCGAAAAAAAAAAAAAGGATCGAAAGGAGTCAAAGGAGAGCATTCTCTGAGGGATTGCAGGAATCTCTCCAACAGCGATGTGGTGCGGGTCAGTGCATGTATGAAGCAAAAATGAGAAGAAGAAAAAGAGAGGTAGCAAAGAGTGAAATTTGCAAGAGAAACGAAAATGAATGGCGGATGAAACTTGCCTTCGGCCTACAGAAGCATCCATTCTTTTTTTTTTTTTTTTTTTTTYTAAAGACAACACAGCGCCTTCTATTCTGGGGGGCGTCAGAACGGTTACTTATCACCGGCAAGCAAGTTTTTACATCGATCCAACAGAAGGGGGAGATCAGACAAAAGGAAAGCAATGGTCCCGCCCTTGTGGTACTAGACGTCTATCAAGGGGGGGACTGGTACAGTACATCCCAACCCCCAAGACTGGGCCTTTCGTAGGGGGTTGGCCTGCAGGTCGGGAGGCTTACTACTGTCTTCACCCAAATAGAATGCCCGGTCATTATAGCCGTATTTGGGGCAACTTTCAGACCAGATGCATCTATAATGACCGGGCGTTCCTCAGGCCGCATGTCAACCTACTGATTAGATACTTCTCAGAGAGAAGCATCCTTTCTACTACCATATTCAGTTTTTGTTTTGTTTTAAAAGCTGCAGGTAACTGTAGGTTATTTTGTTAATCTGGATTCGAACTCGGGTCTGTATTTCAACAGGTCATGGGTGTGCCAACTGAAGGAAAAGAAAGAGAGGAAAATATGAAACGAAGACTTCATAGGTGAAATGAAAATGACCCGAGGATGCCACAACTTGCCTTGGGCCCGAAGAAGCATCCACTCAACTACCATTCGTTGCCGAATGTGTGAAAAGACATGAGTTATCTCCCCCACTTCCTCTCTCCTCTGCAGCTGAAGTCGACGATTCTGGCAGTCCAGTCCCAAGTCATTTGTCAGGAACTGATCCATGAGTTCCACGGCACTCTCCCGCATCGTTCTGACTCGCTTAGAATCTCTGCCGCTGTCCTTTGAAGCTGGCGGCATCGAGTTCATAGCGAGACTGCTTGAGTTTCCGCCGGAAGTCGAACAAGCATTGGAGTCACCTTTTGGCAACTCAATGAGCTCCTCATCCTTTCTTGGATGCAGCAGTATAGATGGGAACTCCCAAAGCCCAGCAAGCAAGCCAACCTTGGCTCTCTGCACGAGCAAAAAGAACGACTTCGACGATCGACCATCTCCGCATTTTTGTGCTTTTCCAGAGCATGTGTTCGGAGCACGGCTGACACTGCTGCCAGCAGCATGCACAACACCATCTCCCTTGCCACTGCTTGGTTCATCATTTTGGCAATCTGCAGGCGTCATTCTTGCAGGCGTATCAACAGCATCGCCCAGTAGTGGCGTATTTGAGGCAACGGTACTTGCATCCATCCCTTTGCCTTGACTTGTAATGCAACGTCCGATTCGTGTGCTGAAAGGGACGGCCTCTCTACTGGCTCCCCCGCTCAGCAGTGTCGCCTCCTGCTTGGTGGGTTCCGGGTCAGACGACTCAGAACTGATTGTCACTTCAACCACACACACAGCGACCTGTTCTTCTCTTGGCGGGGCCTTGACGACTTTAACAGGATAATCCGTCACAGCCGGTGGTTTTTCCGCAGCTGCGTTCCCAGGCCTCTCTATTCCAACTTCACGAGGAGTCCATACCCCGCAAGCAGAAAGCTCGCTAACTCTTTCCACGTGCTCTAATCCTTGCTCTCCCCTGGTCATGTTTGCACATGGTGGTGTGACTCGAGCTTGCACGACTCTCTTCTGGATTTTCCGATTGTTGTAGGCATTCACCCTCGCCAAAGCATGGCAGTTACTTGCAAGCGGGCAGGAGGAGCAAGAAGGGGAGGTGGGTGTGCACAGGACGGACCCCAGTTCCATAAGCGCCTGGTTGAAGTCTCCTGGTCGATGGAGGTCGGTAAGTTGCCCTGCTAGCTCCCTGTCCATCGTTCACCCACATGTCAGATCAGTCCAGTGGATTTAGCTTTGATGACCTTGCCACTGGAAGAATCACAACTGCAAAAAAAAACACCACATATCCTTCCTACTAAGTTTCTAGTATGGGTACCCGTTCAAAAGCATCATGAGACATATGTCTGGACACACTCTGGGAACTCAAATTTTACTAGAAAATTAGAAATGCTAGGGCAATGGGGATTACTTGTCAGACACAACTGCTATTCTGGAATTCAGTTCCACCTGCCAGGTTTTCAGTTCCACAAAGGCTGTTCTGGAATTGGCAGTGGGGGTGAGGAAACCGGGCGCAGAAGACATACATTCCACTATTGGGCATTGGGAGCAAGTTTTCTTAGTTTCGTGCATTCCCTCTTCCACCAGACCATGCATACCATCAGCCAGGTTCTCAAACTGAATCCAAAAATGCTTGCTCAGGAGGGCCTGCTTGTGGCGTGAGAACACTGAGAAGCCCTGTGTGGCGTGAGAAAGAAATAATGCTTATATATTGCAAATCACAAAGGAGGCCGGGAATCCCTCCACATCTGAACCCGGTGTACTGAGGCCATTACCCCCCTTAGGCTCATACTGGAAACCGGGGAGTCCAGAGTCCCATTTCTGCATAATTCCACAAAACCCCTTGGCGGAGCAGCTAGCCATACGTTGGGAGAAGAGGATTTGAAGTGCCCAGGGCACATGTAGCTCGCCTACCCTGACCTGTGCCGCAGAACATACGCTTGGGTAGCATCAGGAGCATGCAATGGTTGATTTTTTTCATGTGGCACAGTGGCACTGCCAGTTAATGGATGACTTTATGAAAGCCGCAGTCAACACCATAGCACCAGCTTTGCCTGCTCTGTATGCGAGGGCAACAGGAATCAATGATGCATTGCGTTGTATGCTGCCCTGAGGAGGCGTATCTATGGGCAGAAGAAGCTAAGGCATTGTTGTGGTGAAAGATATCGGATACCCCTTTCCCGGTCGACAGAAGGGTACTTCTCACAAGAGTGGAGCTTTCGACGACATGGCACCAACACCAGAAACGAGGCTTTCAGTTGAGAAAGGAATACACATTGTGGACCATCTGGAAGGGCAGATGTCAGCGCACCAAAACCCACAGCAAGCCCGAGAAGTTCAGCAAGAACTAATAAGGAAGTTGCAACAGACGACGTTGGCACAAGGAAAAGTAGCAACAGTTGAAGGGAACAGGTTGTCATTAAAAAATAAAATAAAAATAATAAAAAAATATTAAAAATAAAAAAGGTTGTCATTCAATAGGTCCACTTAGGCGGCTTCAACAGCTCCCGAGAGTAAGAGGACCAGCCCCAGGGGGGAGAATATTAGGTACAGTGGGGTTTAGGTGGAAAGTAGGGTTTAGGGCTTAAACCACCAGTCCTTGCCCAGCTATCCGCCATGGAAAAAAATAGAGTAGAAACGTTTCTAGTCGGATGAACTTGGGTGCTCCTGTAGTGGCCCCTACGTTTCCTAAAATTGTGGCTCGTTGACGGGCGCGACTTCAGCAAGTACTGGTGGTTTAAGAAAAGAAGGAGAAAAATAAGTGGTTGGACAGGTAGGAATTCAAATTCGATTCTAAAGGTTAGGCTAGCAATAAAACTTAACTAGGGCCACTAGCTCTACCCGCCTTCTCATGTGGGGCTGATCTGTTTGGTTTCCATTTGGAACTTGTCACATCAGATCCCTCGCAGTACAGGGTTTGAATTGAGCGGAGGATAGCGGTGTGATTGGGGTCTGCGCTGCGCAGAGGACTGTCCCCTCAACACGCATAAAGGAGAGGGAAGAAAACGCGATCAATCCATGTTAATCGAGGTTGAAGCACTGAGAGGCATCTAAATTATCAATGACCCAGCCTTTGCAGGCTGGGCTTTTGATGATCTCAGAGAATCCCCAGCATCATGGGTATGGAGTCTGGCTGACTCTGAACCTCCCTGTAAGCCTGACATTCCCAAGACGAGGTGCATGTAGACCTGTCATCCCTGGGGGAAAGGCCCGAGGTGACCCAGGGCTCAGTGAGTGATGAGGACCAGCCCAGCACCGTTGAGTGGCTGGCCGAATACATCACCTCCTTGCACTGTTTTGCAGGCCCGCAGGGATATGAACGTGGACATCAGATTGGCACATCCTAAGCACATTTAGTAATCTCAGAAAATCAGAACCCTCAAACAGTTGTGGCAGGCATTCCACCGTCAAAAAATAGGCAAAAAATAGGCAACTCTCGTACAGGCAAGACCGCTGTGGCAGGCATTCCACCGTCAAAAGACTCTTTTGATCTGCTGCCGCACAAGAGCGAACTGCTGGAATTCAGCGCTTTCAGGTATCACGAGAAAAAGAGGGAGAGGGAAGCAGGATCCCGTGACTCAGACTCAGGCCAAGAAACGCAGACACCAAGAGATTCAATATGAGGCATGGCCCTGAAAAACTGGAAGCCATCCAAGGGAAGAGACAAGAAACCCAGGAAACCGTCGAATGACACCAAAGGAGAGAAAAGCGAGCAGAGACAAATCACACAAGAAATCGCAACGGTAGCAGCACAGACAAAACGCCTGTTTGAGCAAAACACAGATTACAGAAAAGGGCAAAAGACGAGAACGAAGAGAGACCAAGTAAACCAGACAACCCCGGAACTCAGGATTACCTCATGGATGTCCTTCGGGACATCCGTTAAAATTGGAACGATACAGAGAAGATTAGCATGGCCCCTGCGCAAGGATGACACGCATAAATCGAGAAATGGTCCAAAGAAAAAAAAAGAAAAAAAAAAGGATTACCTCATGGAACGTGAACGGGCTGGCGGGTATTCTGGACAACCAAGACAAGTGGAATAACGTCACAAAATACACAAGATGGTTTGATAACTCCCCACCAGACTTCATCTGCCTCCAAGAAACTCACCTCACGGAATCTCAAGAGCACCAACAAACGAGGAGCAGACTAACACAGAGGCTGCTTCGGGTAAAAGAGGCATGGTGGGCACCAGCAGTCAGACCACATTCAGCAGGAGTGGCCATTCTGCAGAATAGCAACTCAGTGCATGGGTCCTGGAGACCATCTCATGCAAGTGTGTACATGCCATGCATCGTTCTCCCACACACAACGAACAGTAGTCTGATAATAGACAAAGGTAGAGAAGATGAGAACCGAGTTTCACAGCTTATATTATCAAAAATATGAATACAAAGTGTTTCAAAGTTTCCCTGAG